TTTTGAAATTTTCACTCTGGTGAATTGAGGATTTTTTTTTGAATGGACGGATTAGGATGAAAATNGATGTCGTTCGTTTTATTTCTTCTCGAACGATCGGCGCTCTTGTGATCAATCGCTATGCTTGCAGCGCTTCCAGCTGCAATATTGTTCATGCTTCGACTCAATCGCATCGCATCGCCAATCTTCGATGGGTTTCCTAAAATTCGGAAATTATTCTGCAAACGAATTCATGTCCGTTTTCTAATGCAGTTTCCAAGTCCAAGTGAGCTTTCAAAGGGGATGAATTGACTGCGGTTGTATACGTTGATATTATGAGTATTCATATCATTCGTTTTTGAAATTTTCACTCTGGTGAATTGAGGATTTTTTTTTGAATGGACGGATTAGGATGAAAATGTCAAGCAAATTGAAAAGAACCAAATTTGGATGTGATCATTTGTGGATTAATCGATTTGACGATTGATGACGATGAAGAGAGTGTCGTTCGTGACGAGTCGTTACCCAAATTCGGTAGCAACACTTTTGAGATTCGTTCTTTGATTTTAGACATTGAAGTGTTGTGGTTGAGTCGATCGTAACGAATTGACATTTTGTATCCCTTAATTTAGTTCTTTTTTTGAGCATTCTTCTAAATGGATATTGATTGCTCTGTGGATCGATAAAGTCCGTGTGCAGACATCGTATCAGTATTTTTATCTTGAATATGCTGAATGAATTTTGGGAATCTTCAGGGTGAGCTTCAAACAATGAATTCTGTTTCAAAAACCATTGCTGAAATCAAGAAACTTTGGGATTTAAGGAGTAGCTAGGATTGTAAATTGCGTGGTTTTTCATAGTCGTTACAACGGCGTGTGTTTAAAACTTATTCCCAAGAATGAGTTTATAAGGAGAAGAATACATACCTGAAAGAGGATGTATTGAAGAAGTGTGTAGTCAGGTTGGTAATCAGAGAAGGATAAATTCGGTTCATTGATCGTGAAGTAACTTGGTGATTGTCGAACGTTTCGAACGATAACGCCGTTTTGGATGCTGCAATTAAATTATCAAACTTCGGAGTGAGATTGTTTTAAAATGATAGCAAATAGGAAATGTTCAGTCAAATAAGTCATTTTCGTGGTTATTATGAAATCGCGCGTTTTAAAAATTTTTGTCTAGTTGTGAGGTTCAACTTTTTCATTGAATCGACATTGAGGCATTTTAAAGTTTATCTGATTCTCCCTTTCGAGTCTTTAAAGATCTGTGGAGGTACCACCCGTAGTTAGAATGAATTTTCTAAAAAAAATAACAAAATATAGCCCCTCAACAACGAACTCAGCAATTGGCATCGCAAAAACGTCATCAGTTT